GTCTTTGTTGTTTCATATGAAGTTCAGGAGTGTTTTAGCTGTTTCTTTAAACACTGACATTGATATCCTTGTAGGGACTGCACTGAGTTTGCAAAGTGCTTTGGGAATTATTGGCATTTTGATGATATTAATCCTCCCAGGGCTGGAGCGATAGCGGGTAGGGCATTTGCCTTGCATGCAGCCAACATGGTCGACTCGAGTTCGATTCCTCCGCCCCTTTCGGAGAGCCAGGCAAGATACTGAGAGTATCTCACCCGCAGGGCAAAGTCTGGCAAGCTATCCGTGACGTATTCGATATGCCAAACACAGTAACAGTAACAATCCTCCCAATCCATGAGCAGAGGATTTTTTTTTCATTTCCCTATGTCCTATTTTATTACTTAGAGGAGTGTTTTGTAATTTTGTATATGTCTTTCACCTCTTTAGTTAAGCTGATTCTGATAGACATGATTTTATGAGACAATATTGTGAATAGAATTTCTGACAGTACCTTTTACTTCTATTTTAATACTTTTATATAAGAAAGACATGAATTTTTTATTAATTGTGTAGCCTGACACTAGTAGAAGCATTCTTTGGGTAATCTTTAGTGTTTTCTGAATATAGTGTCATGTCATCTGCAAATAGTGAAAGCTTTCTTTCTTTTCTCTCTCGATGCTCTTGATATCGTTTTCTTGGTAATTGCTATGGAAAGTAATCCCAGTACTATATTGAATAGAAGTGGAGAGAGTGGGAATCCTGGTATTGTGCCTGACTTTAAAGGGAAAGCTTTAGGTTTTCACTATAGAGTATAATGTTTGCTGTGAGCTTGTGGCAAGACTTTGTGTATATTGAGGGAAATTAGTTAGATTTCCATTTTGTTGAGAGTACTTATCGTGAATCTGTGCTGAATCTTGTCAAGTGCTTCCATTGCATCTAGTGATATAATCATATGTTTTTATTTTTTATTGATATAGTGAATTATGGTTATTTACTTGCAACCATCCTCAAATTCCTGGGATGACTCCTACTTATTATGGTGTCATAATCTTTTGAATGGATTGTTGCATTGTATTTGCTAGTATTTTGTTGAGGATCTTTGCATCTGGGTTCATCAAGGATATTGCCTATAATTCTCTTTTATGTGGTACATCTGCCTGCTTTTGATATTAGGGTGATATTTACTGTTTGGGAGTGTTTTTGTTTCTCCATTTTCCTAGAAGAGCCTAAAAAGTTTTAGCAAATCCATCTGCACTAAGACTTTTTGGGGGTAGATTTTGATTATCATTTCAACTTGTTAATGACAGGTCTGTGCACATATTCCAAATCAACTGGGTGGAGACTTGGGAGGTTATTGGAATACAGAAATTTATCCATTTATTCTAGTTTATCTTGTTTCATCTCATAAAGATTTTAAACTTAGTCTCTGATGATTTTTTGAAATTCTGTGGTATTTGTTGTGATGCCTCTTATTTTTATTTCTTATTGGAATTTTTAGTGTTCCCTATCTTTCTTTTTGAGTCTTACTAATGGTTTATTGTTCTTTTTTCAAATAAACAACTCTTGGATTCTTTTATCTTTCAGAATGTTCTTTGAGTTTCCAGTTCATTAACTTTTGTTTTATTTTTTATTATTTCCTTCCTTCTGCCTGATTTGGGCTCCTTTTGTTGGTTATTTTATAGTTTCTTAAGTTGTGCAGTCAAGTTACTTATGTGTGCCTTTTCTTCTTTCCTAATGAATTCTTGCATAGCAATGAACTTTCCTCTTAAGACTGCTTTTGCCATAACCACCAGTTCTGATAGGTAGTGCCCTCACTATTGTTTGTTTCCATGAATCTTTTAAATTCCTCTTTAACTTCTATTCTGACCCACTTGTTGATCATTAATACATTATTTAATTCCCAGATATTTGAGTTATTTCTCATTTTCTTTTTATGATTAACTTCTATTTTCACTCCACTATAATTTTGAGAAGATACTTTATAAATGATTTCTATGCTCTTGATTTTGAGGAGGTATAGTTTGTGCCCCAGGATATAGTCTATCTTGGATAATCTCTCTTTGTGCATTGGAGAAGAATATGTATTCTGCCATTTGAAGATGAATATATATACATATATGTGTATATATATACATATATTCACATATACACATAAATACACTCACCAACTCTCTCCCATTTTCTCCTTAAATAAGGTATTTCTTTGCAAGCTTTAGTTTAGTTTTATAAAGAGGTGACAAAGTGGTGTCCTACTCTAATGCTATCAATGTCTTACTTAAAGTCTATTAGCAGTTGTTTTAAGTGTTTTGATGGCCCCTCATTGAGTTCATCTACGTTTAGAAGTGTGAGTTCTTTCTGATACACATATCCCTTAATCAGTAAGAAATACATTCGCAGTCATTTATGACATTTTGCAGACTGAAGTCTATATAATCTGATACCAATATGGACATTCAGGCCGGTATTTTTTTCCTTTTTAAATTTATTTTTTTATTTTCCCCAATTTAATTCCATTTTAATAAAGTAGTTCACAGTAATTTACTATTTTCAGTGTTCCAACATCAATATCACCACCATAAAACCTTTCCGCCTCCTTTAGTTACCCTCCCCACCACCCAAGTCTGTCATGTGAAGTGCATGGCTGTATGATCCAGGGATTCTGAGATTTTGGATAGGGTGATATAACTTTTGGCTCTCTTGCGAGATTTGTAAGTTTCTGGACCATGGCTGTTACTGAGTTTTAATAGCGCCAGAGGTGGTTCACAGGCATGTCCACCGGGCTCCAGGAAAACAGGGATATGGGTGGAGGTTGCCCATTCCCAACTCTGTAGAGATCTGAGTGCATGGTCACAAAAGCCGTATACGTGGGGTTTTCAGAGGATTTATTCTCATGAGTGAGGGGCTCAACTCGAGCCAGTGGAGGTCAGACATGAGTGTGGTGGCTATTTGGTTCTGGAGGTTTTTAACTGTTGAGTTTCTGCTGAGATGGGCAGAGGGACTCGCCCACCCCTCTCTGGTTGTCCCAGATGACATTCAGCTTGGCTCAGCATCTGGGGTCATCACCCTTACACTTTTTGAGGGTATTGGTTGCTTGAAAAATTATTCTTTTTTTGAGTGGATTGTTTGCCTGAAGAATTGTCTTTCAAGCTTTAACTTTGAGTCAGTTTTTTCTGAATTTTCATCTGTGTTTTTTGCAGGCAACAGAGACTCAATTTCTCTACCATCAGCTTTTTCCCCAGGGTTCAATTTTATAATCCATTCTGCCATTCTGTGTCTCTTAATTTAGGTCACTTAGGTTGAGAAAGATTATTCTTATGGAGTTTTTTCCATATTTCTGAATATGTTTAGTGTTTTTTCAGGAATTTTTGTCTTAAATTAGCCCATTTAGTTCTTGTAGGTAGTCTATGAAGTTCTTGAGTTGTTTTTAGTACAGGAATTGTGTATTTGTCCTTCAAATCTGAATGAAAGTCCGGCTTGGTAAAGTGTTCTTGCATTCATTTCATTGATTTTTTTCACTATATCCTATCACTGTCTTTGGGTCTTCAGCTTCTCCTCTGATAGGTTTACTGTAAATCTTTTTTTTATCAAATATTAAGGACAGTCGTTTATATATAATTTGCCTCTTTGACTTTGCTGATTAAAGTAAGTTATCTCTAAGATTTTCATCATTATTATTGGTATGTGTCTTGGAGTGTTTTTATTTGGATTTAGTTTAGCTGGTAGCCTTCCGGCCTCATGAATCTGGGTGCATGCACTCATCAGATCTGGGAACTTCTCAGCAATGATGTGCTTCTTCATTAGGGTTGTCATCCTATTCCTCTGGAAACCCCAGTGATTTCTATGTTTTTCCTCTTCAGTTCATCCCAATGTTCACTTGCCATTTGGGGGGTTTATTTTGAGTATTTTTGCCATTTTATTCTGTCATCTAGACGTTTTCTGCACCTCATCTTGAAATAACTGCTCACTGACTCTGTTCTCTTCCAGTGAGTTTTATAATTCATCTACCAAGTCTTTCAGATTGGTAATTTCTATTTGTATTTTTCTAATTTGTACTTTCATGTACCCTCTTGTTTTATTGTCAGGGGATTCCAATGTTTTTTTTTTTGAGCCCCTTATGCAACTTCAAAAATTCCTCTTTGCTTTTTTATTTTTTATTTTTTGCTTTTTGGGTCACACCTGGCAATGCTCAGGGGTTACTTCTGGCTCTGCACTCAGAAATCACTCCTAGAGGTGCTCAGAGGACCATATGGGATGCTAGGAATCGAACCTGGGTTGGCCACATGCAAGGCAAAGACCCTACACCCTGTGCTATATCACTCCAGCTCCAACAATTCCTCTTTAAATCCGTATAAGTGAGGCTTTATATCAATTATGAATTGAGTTTTCTGAACTAGTATCTTCATTCACCAAACTTGGTAGTTTTCTCCATTGTTCTACCATTGTGTCATTTGCACTTTGCAGTTGTTTCTTGTGCACTGTGTGGTTATGTGCTACAATTAGGATGTCTTTGCATTTTATACAGTGAGTTATGTAGAGGTAATGTAATGCACAGCCATAAAGCTACTCTGAGTAAAATGCAGGGCTCTGTGTGCCTCAGCTTCCTCCAAAAATTCCTTTCTTAATGATAATAAACAAAGAAACCTAAGTGGAAACAAATTTGTCATATTAGGGGATGGGAGCTATGTCCAGCTGTAATAAGGACTATTTGTGCTATATTCTATATACTCATTTGGTGCTCAGGAATCAATCCTCAGGGACTATATGCAGTGCTTTAGTCAGTGTTTAGGGGATCATATGCAGTCCTGGGGATTAAACCAAGTCAGTCATATTCAATGCAAGCACATGACACACTATTACTCTGGTCAAAAAATACAATCTTACTTGTAATTATTCAAAGTTTAAGAAATATGAAAGAAGGATTACGTAAGCTTCTTCTTTGTGAGAGACTGTGTCTGATTTAACTTACCCATACTTAAAAACACGAGGTCCAGTTGCTGATACCAATATTTGGATTCATCTAGTTATAGTGACATTTTCCTGAGCAACAAGAATGGGCTCCTGGGTTCCAGATACAAGAAAGCTGTATTTAGAGAATATACTGACGGTTCATTTAAGATACCTCGGCCAAGGACTGGATCAGAGGAGCACTTGGGAATCTTAGGTAAGAAAATGCCACCATCAACCAAGGTGTCTGGGAGTTTCTATTCCTCATAATGAGACTACTAGCTGCAAAGCTTCCAACACTTCCCATAATTCTTCATTAATAATGTACAGAATGATTTTTTGTTTATTTGTTTTGGGGCCACACCAGGTGATTATTAGGACTTACTTTTGGCTGTGCACTTAGGAATCACTCCCTGTAAGCTTGAAGGATCATACGGGTGCCGTGTATTGAACCTCAGTCAGCTGTGTGCAAGGCAAGCACCCTCTCCTCTTTGCTATAACTCTGACCTTAGGAATAATAGTTTTATTTTAAAAACAATACTTGAATAAACCTCAGATGTATAAAAGTTGGTACAATCTTGAGCCTCATTTTCTAGGACCGCTATAATAAAGAATTCTGAGATTTGAAGGTGTTTAAATGTTAGCAACAGATCATCAACAATTAGAAAAATAGTACAAAGAACCAATAGTACCTTTGTATTCCAATTTACTTATTAATACATTGTATTCACTTTTATAAGAAGAAAAATAGTTTCTTCTGTTATGAAGATACCCACTGGCCCTTAGAGTGTATAGAAATTCTATACTCTGTAACAAAATCATTCCTTGTCATCAATGGTTCCACAAAATTCTAATTCTTATTTTTGAGGATATAGACACACACAACTGTCTTCAGGGTTTACTCATTGATCTGTGCTTAGGTACCACATCTGGCATTGCTTGGAAGGTGGTGCATAATATAGGGGTTTCACAAATCAACTCCAGGTCTACTACATGCAAGGAATGCCTTGCCTACTATACCATCTCTCTGGCCCCTCACAGAACCATGATTCATATGAAGCTTGGAATACTATATTATGAGGGTTGGACTGCACTCAGTCCTGTTGAGCTGTATCACTGGTACATAGAGCTTCTGAAGTTTAAAATAGAGCCTTTCCTGAGATTTTGTCAAAGAAAGATTCTCAGTGTAAACACCTAATTCTAGGGAGCTCCTGTATATCTTACTTCCTTTACTACTCCTGCTTTACTAGTCCATTAATTAAAACTTTTCCTTTTGCATAATTAGGTCCATTACTTCGAGGAGAGGTTGGTGATATCATAACTGTGGTATTCAAGAATAATGCCAGCCGACCCTATTCAGTACATGCCGATGGAGTGATAGAATCTAACACTGGCTGGCCACTGGCTGCTGCACCTGGTGAGTCTGGACACCTAATAAAGGAATACATGATGTGAATACACCTTCAATACCCCCTAGTCTGTTCCTTAAAATATTGGAGGATATTAATAGAATATTAACAAAGACTTAGTCATACACCAAATTTCTCTATATGAGACACTCGTTTTCTCAATCCATTGACAGATTTTCAACCTCAGGTCTGTTTGATCTAAATTCCAACACAGATTACAAACCTCAAGTATTTTGGTTCATTGAAGAAACATACAACATATAACACTGATCATAGATGAGTTTCTATTTTAAGAATCTGAAGTTAACCTTGGCTGTATTTTAGCTTCTAATAATGGACAAAATTTTAATCTTTTCTTATTTTTGAAAATATACTTCTTATACACATAATGTAGAGTACATCCTATTATCCTACCAATATTTTAACACTAAATTTATGTTGACAATATTATAACATTTTTCCATTGATTTATGTGTTGAATAAGTACTAGAAGCCTACTACATTCAGAAAAAGTTATAGCAGTCATGTATTGAGTATGAAATAATTCATTTTCTACTTTTTATAGGCTATTTTTTCGTACAGAGAAAAGACATAAAAATTACCTTTGTCTAAGCTCTTTTTGAACAAACTGGTGAATTTAATACACATGGGAATATTTGTGAATAAGGCACATTGTTTAGGATTTTAAATTTTAAAATGAGCTATGCTTCATAAACTTCTGTAAAATTAACCATCTCTTCATTATAGAATACTAAATATCTTTAGAGGTATTCAAAACAGTTTTAAATTAGATATGTTGTTTATCAATGACAATAATATGGAGGATATATAATGATTATTAACAGTCTGGCAAAGAGTATTCTATTTATTTTTTTACTTTTTTAAAAATTTATTTTTTATTGAGTCACTGTGAGATACAAAGATACAAACCTGTTCATGATCAGGTGTCAGTCATAAAATAATCCAACATCCATCCCTCCATCAGTGTATATTTCCCACCAACAATTATCCCACCTTTCCTCACAACACCCAGCTTGCCTCTATGGTAGCCACTTTCCTTATCTCTCTTTCACTCTATCTTTCTCTCTCCTTTTGGCATTATGGTTTACAATACAAATACTTAGGGGTTATCATATTTGTCCCTTTACCTACTTTCAGCATGCAGTTCTCATCCAGATGGAATATTTTCAACTATCATTGACATAGTGGTTCTTTCTCTGACCCAAATGCCTTCTCCCCTAACACCTGAGGCAAGTTTCCAAACATCTACCAAACTCTTATGGTGTTTTACAGTTCTTGGGTATTAGACATGTACTATGTTTTTATGTCCCACAAATGAGTGCAATGATTCTATGCCTGTTCCTCTCCTAATTAATTTCACTCACCATGGTATTTTCCCGGCTGGAGTGATAGCACAGCGGTAGGGCGTTTGCCATGCACGCAGCCAATAAGGCCGACCCGAATTCGATTCCTCCGCTCCTCTCGGAGAGCCTGGCAAGCTAATGAGAGTATCTCGCCTGCACGGCAAAGTCTGGCAAGCTCCCTGTGACGTATTCGATGTGCCAAATACAGTAATAAGTGTCACAATGGAGATGTTACTGGGCCCGCTCGAGCAAATTGATGAACAACGATAAACAATGGAAGGACCGTGATGGTACTTTCCATATTCATCCGTTTATAAGAGAATTTTAGGACTTTAGTTTTTTCTAACATATTCAGTGTATTCCATTGTGTAGATGTAGTTTCATAGTTTCTTTAACCAGTTGTCTGTCCTCAGGCATCCAGGTTGTGTCCAGATGCTGGCTATTGTAAACAGTGCTGCAATGAACATACAAGTGAAGATGGCATTTCTACTGTATGTTTTTGCACCCCAGAGCCATATGGAAGCATGATTCCTAGCTTTTCTTTTGGAATGTCCATATTGTTTTCCAAAAAGACTGGACGACACAGTATTTCCAAGATCAATGATAGTACCTTTCTCCTTATATCCATGACAACATTGTTTTTTCTAGTTCTTTTTAGCTTATGCCATGCATTGTGGTGTGAGCTCATATCTTATTTCATTTGCCCTCCCTCATGATCAGCAGTATCTTTTCATTTGGTTTTTGATCATTTGTATTTACTTTTTGAGGAAGATTCTTTTAATTTTTCTCCCCAAGGGATTAATTTTCTTTGTAAAGTTGCACCAGACTTGGGTAAATAACTTTTCCCATTGCATGGGCTGTCTTTGTATTCTGGTTGCTCGTGTCCTAATTGTCATTTTTTTCCAGGAACCTTCCAATTTCCTATATTGTTTCCTCTGTAACCCAGTGGTTTTTCATTATTGAGCTGTTTAATTTCCAGTATTTGATTTGATTTTTCTTTTTTGTTTTGCATTAACTTCTATTTTCATTGCATCATGGTCTGAAAGTATTGGTAGTGTAATTTTTATCCTTTTAATTTTATCTAGGTATGTTTTGTGGCCTAGCATGTGGTCTCTCTTGGAGAATGCACCATGTGCATTGGAGAATAATGTGTATTTGGCTTTTGGGAGATGAAGAGACATAAATATGTATATATGTCATTTATGTATATATTATATAAACCCCTATTCCATTTTTTATCAAATAAAGTATTTTTCTTAACTTTGGTCTGGTTGATCTTTTGAGAGGTTACAAAGAGTTGTTGAAATCTCCTCTATCATTCTGTTGCTATCAATGTCTTACTTCAAGTTGATTAGCAGCTGCCTTGATTATCTTGCTGGTCTCTTATTTGGTCCATTAGACATTTAGGAGTGTAAATTCTTTCTGAATTATAGATCGTTAAGAAATGATATTCATGATCTCTTATGACTTTTTTCAGCCTGAAGTCTATGTGGTACAATACTAGTATGCCAATGCTAGCTTTATTGAGGGTATTGTTTCCTTGGGTAATTGTTTTCCAGCCTTTGTCTTTGAGCCTGTATTTGCTTTTATTGTTGAGATGTATTTCTTGCAGGCAGCAGAGTGTAGGTTTAGCTTTGTAATTTATGCTGCTACTATTTGCCATTTACATTGAGAGAGATTATTGTGCTGGGGATTTGTTCCATCTTTATGTAGGAGTTTGATGTACTCATGGTGCTTGTCCCTTCATTTCTTCTTTCATTTTTTTTTTAAATTTGGGGGCCACATTTGGTGATGATTGAGGGTTTAATCCTGACTCTGCAATTAGTCTCCATTATTTGATAGGACTTTTGAATTTTTGGGTGATCTTTGTAACTCATTTATACATCCTGGACATCAACACTTAATCTGCTCTATCCTTAATAGTATGTTATTTTTTCAATTCTTGTTAGTTTCAGGGAATATTTTTATTTCGTCATTTCTTTTTTCTTTAATCATTTGTTATTTAGCAGTGTTTTATTGAACTTCCATATGCTGGAACTTTCCCCCACCTTTGTTATGGTTTATGACATTGTAATCTTAGAGGATGCTTGGCATTATATCTTTATTGATAAAATTATGTATTTTTGAGTTATTCCCGAGTATGTGATCTCCCCTTGAATATGTTAAATGTACACAAGACAAAATGTGTATTCAGCTTTTTGAGGATGGAGGACTCTGCATATATAAAATAACCCAAGTTCTTCTAACTTTGAATTTTGTGCTTTTGTTTCTTTACTAATATTCTTCATGGCTATGTCTAATTATAAAAAGTGGAATGTTGAAATTTTCCATTAATACTCTCTTTCTGCCATGTGTTGCTTTAGGTATGTGAGTAGATGTTTTGTAAATCTTCTGGCCTTTTATTTGGTGTAAATATGTTGATAAAAATTAATACTTGATTGCTCCTTTAACCAATATGTAGTGTCCTTCCCTATCTCTATTTTTTTCTTTAGATAGAGTGCTATTTGTTCAGGTGTAAGTATGGCTGTCCCCAATGCTTGTTTTGTTTGTTTTGGTCTACAATTGTTTTGTATGACTGTTTTACATTCTTTTAGTCTGAGTCCTTATTTATCCTGTATATTTAGAGGTGTTTTCTCTGAGCAGCAAATAGTTGCATTTAATTTCTTGATCCATCCAATCATATCATGCTTTTGAATGAGATAGTTTAGTTGATTGATATTCAGAACGATTGTTGACATCAAGGACCATATCGCCATTTTTGAATGTGGTCTTTAACTGTTTTGCAATTGGCCTATTTTTTAATTTTTTAATTTAGCCATCATCATTTGAAAGTTATTCTTTCTTGAGTTTTATGTATACAATGTTACAACATCTAACTTATCACGAGTGTAAACTTCCCTCCACCAATGCCCCCAAACATATCACTCCAACTCCCAGTCTGCCTCCTTAACAGCACAATTTTAAGTTTGGTTATTGTAGCTAAAATATATTCTTTTCAATTGTTTTTGTTTTATGGTTCAAAAATATTGTTAGATAACACCTTTTCACCATCAGTGCTGAGGCCCTGAATCCTGCAAATATTACATCCATCCTCCTATTCTTGCTTTCTTCTTTGCAGTATTTTCTCTTCCCTATCCTTACATATATTTAATAATTGTTATTAGTGAAACACCATGAGGTACAGTTGTAGACTTACAAATTTTGTGCTTGGGTTTCGATTATACAATGATCAAATACCCATCCCTCCACCAGTGCCCAATTTCCACCACCATGTATCCCAGTATCTCTCCCACCCACAACTCCCCATCCCACCCTGCCTCTGTGGCAGGGCATACCCTTTTGTTCTCTCTCTCCTTTTGGGTGTTGTGGTCTGCAAAAGAGGCATTGAGTGGCAATCATGTTCAGTCCATAGTCTACTTTCAACATGCATCTTCCATCCTGGGAGTATCCTCCAAACAAAATTTATTTGGTGCTCCCTTCTCTGTCTGAGCTGCCCTTTCCCCTAGAATGCCCAGCTGGCCTCTAAGCCATGGAGTAATCCTCCTGGTACTGATCTAGGCTATTCTTCAGTATTAATCTCCTATTTTCTTACTTTATGTCCCCCAGATGAATGCAATCTTTTTATGTCTATCCCTCTCTTTCTG